GATCAGCCTGCAGTTCTGTGCCAGGGTGCAAAATGTTTTTTTGCAGATTGGGAAAAGAGTCAAATATTTGCAAATCTATGTTGGTTTGGCGGGTCTGTCGAAAACATATTGAGTCCTGTTAATCCTGGTAATAGAATAGAAGACACTCCTAAAACAAACCCAAATAGGTTTAAGTCTCCAACTTAAAACTGTGAAAACATTTATTCTGGTCAATTACCAATAAATGGAACTGACATACTGTGAACCTAATTCCAAACTAGGCACCGTAATTAAATGATCGAAATTAAACTGGGTATTGCAGGACATTTAAAATTTGCTGCAGTTCATGCATGCCAACCAGTTTTGTTTTTAAAAATAAAATTGTTAGAACGTGTTCAGTTTTTCCCAAAGGGTCCCTTTGTAGATGACCATGGTTGTGCAACATCGCTCACCTTTCCATGGCACCATGATTGTCTGATGCCAAAAACAAACTTTCAATTGTATTTTTGTTATGATTCAAAGATTCAAATTTTTTAAAAAAATGTTGGTTTACCGAGGACTTCCTTCTGAATTGTAATTAATTAGTGAATGAACAAATGGTGATTAGTAGCTGCATAATAAGGCACATTCTATGTTCTCTGCAGTCTATGTCCAATTCATTTGGCAGTGCTGCATTGAATCTGCATGTGCATTTCATGGGCATATATTTTCCACTGTGGATAGATTATTTTACTAAGCAAACGAGAGTTTACTGAAGGATTATTTTTTCGACAGAGGAAAATATACCCCCTGGTGTTAAAATGGGAGAGACGATGTGTTTATGAGCTTGATGATCTACAGAACCTTGTGAATCAGTCTGCAGTAATCGGAGTCACACTTAGGAGCCCATAAAAATGTTGAACTCTTATCCTCCCTTAGAAAGGGGTCATGAGTTCAGCACTAGCTTCACACAGAAATGCCGGAAGTGTAATTGGGTTCCAGCACAGCTTCAGTGTAATTATGCTGGTATCTTTCATTGCTTCCAGGTTAACTGACAACATGAATCATGGCATTACATTGACTGATACCTTTGGGAGAGCAGTATGTCTGTTGTTGGAGCACATCAGCAGCAGGGCATAAACTATTCTGCTTCTACAGCACCAAGTACAAGCACTTTTTTTGTGCGTGTTTCAGTTTGAGTTTAATTAACAACTTGTAGTGCCTTGAACTTTAAAGCATTCCATGGCTTTTTGCAGAAGCATCCGTAAAAAAACTGACACCATACCTAAAAAATAAAAGATATCATGGCTGATGACCAACGCTTTGGTCAGCTAAGTGGCTTTAAGGAACGTCTTATAGGAAGAAATTCAAAGGTGGGAGTTTGGAGAAGGAATTCTGCAAATCTAAGATTCAGTTAATTGAAGATATATTGATCAATAGTGGAGCAATTGAAATTGAGATGATGCATTCCAGAAATAGAGGATCATAGATAATTTGTACAGCTGAAGGAATTTACAAAGGTAGGCTGGGAAAAGGCCACGGAAAGGACATGAAAACATGGACCACGGTGTTGTTCACAAGAGTACAAGATAGCTCAGTCATTGTAAAGCCATTTGTAACATCTCATTGCCATCCTGTCTAAAAAAATCACACGACACCAGGTTATAGTCCAACAGATTTATTTAAAATCACAAGCTTTTGAAGCAATGCTCCTTTGTCAGGTGAAACACTCCTAAAACTTGTGATCTTAAATAAGCCTGTTGGACTGTAACCTGGTTTGGTGTGATTTCTGACTTTGTCCAACCCAGTACAACACTGGCATCTCCACACCCTGGCTACCATCCTGTCTAAGGTCATCTAACTCCATCATAGACAAGGAAGGAAACTGTGATCTCACTGATCTCATTGATTCATTATTACAACGCAACATCATAAATCATTGCATCATCAGTAAGAACCAAAGATGTGTATTGTTTTAGGATGGTTTGAAGAATTAGACATTTGTTTGAAGGCAGGCAAGAAGTAGCAATGTGGTGGCAAATATTGAATGTTTGCCATTGAAAGATGGCAACTCATCATTTTAGTTGTGTTCTGGTGCCCTATGCAGCCACTGGGGAGCCTTCGGATGACTGTCACCATAATGCTCTCGTTGCAAATCAACTAATGCTACCTTCTCAGAAATGCCCAAGTCCAAGCCCAAGCCTTTTTGCTTTACACTGTTGCAAGGCACAATTACTCACAATAATGCATTATAGAGGATACTGTACAGACTTGCTTGACCTGACAACAACTTGCACTTGTTTAGCCACAATCCTATCACAATAAAATATCCCTAGTGGCTTCAACAGGAGCATGTTTTAAAACACAATTTGATACCAAGCCACTTAAAGATATATTGGACATGTCATCCAAACATTGGTTATAAGGAGCATCTGAAAGGAAGAAAGCAAAGTACAGAAGTGGAGAGATTTAAGAAAGGACTTCTAGAACTTGGGATCTTGGCTAATGAAGGTCGCCTTACCCTCTGTGTGTCAATTAAAACTGATAATGTTTTAGGCCAGGGTTCAAGTGTCCAGGTATCTCAAGTATCTGGACTCTTTAGATCTAGCAGGAACTGGTGCCAGGGACTTCAGAGAGGTTTAACAATAAGGACAAGGATTTTTTAGTACAGATGCTTCTTAACTGGAGCCGATGCAGGTCAACATGCAACAGAGCTTTAAATGAATGATATTTAGAATGAGGTAGGGCTTGAGCAGCAGAGTTTAGAATGAACTCAAGTTTACAAAGGGTAGAACACGGGAAATTGATCAGGTGAGTTTGGAATAGTCCAGTGGGATCGATGCATGAGGGTTTAAACAGCAGGTGAGTTGGGGTGAGGCAGATTCTGGTAGTATCATAGAAGTGGAAAGATGTAGCCTTGATGATGTGGTAATGTGGTTACAAGCTCATCTTGAGATCAAATATGCCACCAAGATAATGAACTGCCTGGTTTAGCCTCAGACAGTTCCAGGAGTGGGATGAAGTCACTGGTTGAGAACTGGTTATGGCATGGATCATCAACCATCGATAACTATAGTAAGGGAGCATTTTTACAAAGCAATTCACATCATTAATTTTAACTTGACTTTAATAAAAGCATGATACTTTACCATGTGCATTTAGATACCTTATTGCCCCTATAGCACCAATGTTATTTTGAAGGAATGTTGTTATAAAATTTCATCTTTGTTCAACACTTCCCATTGTATTGAAGCCTTTTGAAATTTTTAGGCATCGTCAGCTTGCAGGTGGTTATACACCCTTAGCACTCCATGTTTCAACATCACTGAGCCCTCATGAGAAACCATTTCTGGGAGGAAAATTTTTAAAAGCAGCAGACATAAAAATCAGATATAACCAGGAACCGGAGATTATCAAAAACTGAGAAAAGTTTGTTCTCACATCCAGCAATACTTTTTTTTTGCCCTCTTCCAGATGGGCACATGAAGAACTGAGTCACTTTCCTTAAAATTAAAAGAAATCATGCTGTGTCTCATTTAAAATAAGCTCTCACAGAATGGTCCAAAAGCTGGGGCAAATGGGACAAGAATCCTGGGAAGGTCAGACTTTCTGACTCCGACTTACACCCCCTGTACTTTCAGGACTAAACCCACCAATCAGCTCATATACCTTGTGAGATAGGAAAGAACAGATATGATCACAGTGGGGCAGAGGGAGGCAATGAAATTCACAGTGTCTCTGATGATAACAAAAACATAGAATTCTGAAAAATCACTAATATTCAATTATGTATTTTTGAGAAGGATTTCAGTCTCTAAATGATCATAAATTGTACGCACGCTTTTGCAAATTGTACGAAATTAATTACAGCTGTAAATCAATGACATTTTGAATATTGTGATTAGTTTTCATTGTGTAAATCTTGTCAGTACTGTTATATTAGCACATCACTAGGACTGGGAATCTTTGCAAAAAATTTGCTTGTGAAAATTTATATGTATGAAAATACATTTGTTTGTGAAATGTTATAATCCAAACCACATGAGGATTACCAAGAAATGGACTAGAAAATAACAGAAAGAAAATAGAGATAGTAGGAACTGCCGTTGCTGGAGAATCTGAGATAACAAGATGTAGAGCTGGATGAACACAACAGGCCAAGCAGCATCAGAGGAGCAGGAAAGCTGACGTTTCGGGTCTGGACCCTTCTTCAGATTTTTCTGATGTTTCATCACCATGCTAGGTGACATCATCAGTGGAGCCTCCGATGAAGCGATGTTATTCTACTCCGCTTGGAATTTATACTGTCCGGTCCGTTATGGTGAGTACTGTCATTTCTGGTTTTGTTCTGTATGGGTTTGTATCCAGCTCTACACCTTGTTATCTCAGAAAGAAAATAGATTGTGTTTTAAGACCACTTTAATAATGTGGCATAAATATATCCCTATGAGAATGAAAGACATATCAAAATGTGAAAGCTAGGCAAGTACAAGAGAAAAAGAAAAAAGAAGGATCTGTTGAAAGCATAAGAAGTAAAATTTTGGGAAGACATTCATGTGCATCGTTAACACAGACATTTATCAGTTGCGCCAAGTGGTTTGTTTCTGTGCTATCAGTACCTTTTACAATGCATGATGTAGTACACTTGATGCAATGGGATCTAATCACAAGATCTGGGCATTTCAATCCTTTTCATAACCAGTTCCAAAGGTACTGGCACAATGTCTCATGCTACTTAATCTGCATTAGCTACCATAAGAAATAGAACAGTTAAAAACTGTTAAATTGAGTCAACAACTTAAATTGAGTTTTTAACAGGGTCCTCTGTGAAAGTCACTAGAATTTGGTGGTTATTCCATCGAAGGTTGTGTTGTGAGAGGCTAAAGAGATAAAAAATTCTTTAAGCTGATTTGTACAGTTGTATTATTGTACATGGATATGTGAAAAATTTCTCTGCTGTTTAAAGTTTTGGCAAAGATCCGTAGCTCGGGTTGTGGATGAGGTTGTTGACTTGCTCGCTGAGCTGGCTTGTTTTTGTTCAGATGTTTCATCGCCATGCTAGGTGACATCATCAGTGGAGCCTCCGATGAAGCGATGTTATTCTACTCCGCTTGGAATTTATACTGTCCGGTCCGTTATGGTGAGTACTGTCATTTCTGGTTTTGTTCTGTATGGGTTTGTATATGGAGTCCAATTCTATATGTTTGTTAATTGAAGTATGGGTGGAGAACTATGCCTCTAGGAATTCCTATGCGTGTCTATATTTGGCTTGGGCTACTATGGTTACTTTATCCCAGTTAAACTGATGGCCTTCATTGTCTGCGTGTACAGATATTAAGGAGAGTTTGTTGTGCCGTTTTGCTGCTAGCTGATGTTCATGTATTCTGATGGCTAGTTTCCTTTCTGTCTGTCCGATGTAATGTTTGTGGCAGTCGTTGCAAAGTATTTTGTAAACTACGTTGGTTCTGCATGTTGTGGGAATGGGATCTTTAACCCTTGCGAGTGTTTGTCGTAGAGTGGACATGGGTTTGTGGGCCACCATGCTTCGTAATGGTCTTAGGAGTCTTGTTGTCAGTTCCGATATGTTCTTGTACAACCAGACTCCTATGACCACTAGGAATTCATTAATTCCCAATGTTTTATTTTAGTTATACTTTCATATGAATTCTGAGGACGGGTCACAAAACTTGAAATGTTAACTCTGATTTCTCTCCATAGATGCTGCCAGACCTGTTGAGTTTTTCCCGGCAATTTTTGTTTTCAATGGACTCTAGTTCTGCTGCTGCCTGCAAGTAGAAATTTCATCATAGAATTCCTACAGTGTGGAAACAGGCCATTTGGCCCAACAAGTCCACACTGACCCTCAGAGCATCCCACCCAGACCCATCCCCTATAACCCACCTAATCTACACATCCCTGAATACTATGGGCAATTTAGCATGGACAATCCACCTAGCCTGCAGGTCTTTGAACTGTGGGGGGAAACTGGAGCACCAGGAGGACACCCACACTGACACAAGGAGAATGTGCAAACTCCACACAGACAGTCACCCAAGCATGGAATCGAACCTGGGTCCCTGGTGCTGTAAGGCAGTAGTGCTAACCACTGAGCCACCGTGCCTCTCTACTTCTATATGATCAAATCCTTTCATAATCTTAAGGACATTGTAGCATAAGTCTCAGCTATCTTTTGGTTTTGAAAAATAAAACCAGGCCGATGCACTCTTTTCTCATAGGTACAACCTCTCACTTCTCCAATAAGTATGTTTTGTGGGCTGGAGACCTGATTTACACACATACTCCATGTATGATATAACATTTAGAGGGGAGGTGATGGCCTCATGATGTTATCACTGGACTGTTAAATCAGAGAGCCAGATAATGTTCTGCAGACCTGGGTTCAAATCCTGCCATAGCAGGTGGTGAAATTTGAATTAAATAAATATCTGGAATTAAGAATTTAAAGCTGACCATAAATCCATTTTTTGGGAAAACCCCTCAGGTTCACTAATGTCCTTGTGGGAAGGAAACTGCCATCCTTACCCAGTCTGGTCTACATGTGACTCCAGACCCACAGCAATGTGGTTGACTCTTAACTGTCCCCTGGGCAATTAGGGATGGGCAATAAATGCTGCTTCGCCAGCAATGCTCCCATCCTGTGAATGAAAGAGGAAAAAACATTTTGAGAAGTTTGTTTTTATCATAGCTTCTTTGGTTTTCAATTCTTTCTTTAGGAATGAAGGGAATAGAGCACCGTATACACACACATATATTATATATATATATAATTTTTAAAATGGCCTTATTATCTCTCAACATCATTTTTTAACATGTTGTGTATTTGCAGTTTGAATTGAAATCTGTTGTTTTTCTCAATTGGAAGTTGCAGCCACATTTTATTTTAGAGTCTGCAGACTGCAACAGTTTTTAAAAATGAGTGCTGAATGTACAAGGCAGTTTCAGATCAGACTGTTTTTTTCATATACCTGAATGGAGTTACCATTGCCTCAGGCAGCCTGAGGTTTTGTGAGACCACCAGGAAAGCTATCCACCCCAACAAAGCAAAAGGTTTAAGTTACGGTTATGGGATCCCCATTGACATTTTAATGTCTTTGTTTGCTATTTTAATGGAAGAGAGAGAGGAGTATTCCAGGATGGAAGACAGAGTGAGGCAGTATGTGACAAGGTTGCATCCCACAAAATATTACCTCCCCCAAAGAATTTATAGAGCATTCAAATCTCCAAAAAAATCTCACTGAGAAGTGTGTACTCCCCAAAAAGACAATATGACAATTGTCAACTTTGGTGTGAAAATCTACATCCAAACTGAGACAGTGCTTGGCCGTGGTACTAAAACGCACCATAGAGTTCAACTTTTTGGCCAACAGCTCATTTCAAACACAGACAGAGGATATATTCAATATTTCCAGCTGCCACCTGGACAAGTCTCCATTAGATTATTGAGATAATTATTAGGAAAGACTTCACTAACTCCATATAGTACTGTTCCTTCAAGTTCCTGGATTCCTCAAACTGCACAATGCAACTGATATCAGTGCCACAGCAAATAAATGATGGCAGTAAGGTCATCCAGCTTCAACTTACTGGATGTGCAGATTGTGTTAGTCATGACTGTGTGCCGGGTTTTACTACAGGTTCCCTTGTTCCTATGTTTGTGATGTATCTTCAAGAAAGGGTCTGATCTACTACAATGTCAAAGCACACAGTTTCTTCCTAAGATGGCAATTCTTCAGAAAGCTGTGAATATAGCAGTACGGTGGTACATTGAGAATGTTATTGGACTAGTAATCATGTTAGAGAAAAGCTAATAACCTAGTTCAATATAAGGTTAGAAGTAACTTGGAAAAGTGCTCTTCCTAGAGCATTGTAACATGTTTTAATGTAGAGGGAAGTTGACAAAATCAAGTCTCTCTCAAAACTCAGTATCCTCGGTAGATTGTAATTTTAGGGTATTTTAAACAGTTGGTAATATTTCATTACACTAACTGTAAGCAAATCTTGCATTTTCTGCTAACATGAATAATGTGCAGTTTATACTTGCAGTGAGCTCACTCTGTTGGGATTCACACAATTCTAGATTACTACTACCTGCTGCACATCTTTAGCTCTGTCTAAGTCAGATATTTTGTATTATCAACCTACACAATCTGGCTTGGCTCAGACTCAATTTCAGTTAACTAAATTACTTACGGATATGTTTCTTATAGAATAGCGAAGGTTTCAATACATTAGGAGCAGTAACAGGCATGGATCCTGCATTTCCACATAGCTCTTAATTTCCTCCTCAAACTTTGTCATTTGATTGGTATAACTTTAGCAGAAATGATGTAAATGGCCATTTTCAGCTGCTTGCTTTGTCTCTCCAGGACTTCAGCTAATTTCCTCCTAGAAAAACTCTGTGAAATTTCCAGGCTCTGATCTTTTAGAACTTATTGTAATTGGAAATCTAGATTTGTGAATCCTAAAGAGATGGATTCTTTGCAAGTATAAGTTGCACATTTAGGTTGATCAACAAACAAGTTCTCCTGATACAATGAATATAGTAAATCTCTTTATCCAAAGCCTATGCAGAGGCATCAAGTGGCTCTAAACTTTCCCCTTTATGTCATTTGGCCACAACAGGAATTTTTCTTTTGTTTGGAAAGTAAAATACTTAACAATTTAAGGAGTACTTAATTAGTATGACCAGATCCAAGATGAGGTTCTCTAAATTACTAGCATTCCAGATAGGATTCACAAATGTTTCAAGCTCCCAAGTGGGGAGGGAATAACCAGTTCTCTTTCTTTATTCACCTCCATCCATCCCCACCCACCACTGCTACTCTAAGCTGGCCAAACAAGATGGACAACTGTAAAGGGTAGATTGTACAGCATTGATTGATAGTTAAGCCATTGATTTCTGGTTTGCTGACAATGCAGATAAATTGAAATTTATTCTCGAACCTGAGGGACTGTCAAAGAGGAAAAGAAAGTATGAGCTGGACTCCAACAGTCCATATCTACTGCAGCTGGAAGCCATGTTCCACCCAAGTAAAGTTCCTGGAAATCCTCTAACAATATTAAAAGTGTAGGGACTGGATAAACTTAATGTTACTTGGTAACTGGCATCAGCGTAGTCCACACTGAGGTCTTTATAAAGTAGATGACACAGCTGGGGGAATCTTCATTGCTAAAGTACAACCAATATAACCAGGTGATTAGCACTGCTGCCTCAGAGCACCAGGGACCCAGCTTTGATTCCAGCCTCCAGTCTGTGTGGAGTTTGTACATTTTCTCCATGTCTGTGCGGGTTTCCTCCAGTTTCCTCCCACAGTCCAAAAGATGTGCAGGTTAGATGGATTGGCCATGCTAATTTGCCCATAGTGTCCTGGGTGGGAAATGCAGGGACAGGGTAGCAGGTGGGTCTGGGTGGGATGCTCTTCAGAGGGTCAGTGTGGGACTCAATGGGCTGAATGGCCTGCTTCCACACTGTAGGGGTTTTATGACTAGCAAGCGTTAATGGATGAACCTATAGGTAGCACAGTGATGACTATGGTGTTTGCTGATTATCTGGCATATTTAGTAACTGTTGTCTGCTAATGTTTCCCCATTTCTCTCAAGTCAAGTTCCAGGGTAGCTCTGAAAGCTCTTGATTTTGATTAAACATGAGCCTCCTATACAGGCAAAGTCTGTAAAACAGCAGTGACTTCCTCCTGAATCACTACATCTGGCAATGCCACAGAGTGAGCCACATGTTTCATGTGGTTGAATGGAGCACGTTGCCTGTACAATGAATGGCATCCTTTGGGAGATTGCTTTGAAACACCACTAATACTGGAAATAATGAACAGTTGATTAACACTGTTTCAGCTCAATAACCCAAAACTGACACAAAACTATCAAAACATCACAGAAGTACAGTTCCTTTGCTCCAGTGAAAACAAAGCAGATTGTAATTAAATGCCCACAGCTTTGTTTACTGCTTGATTTTCTGCTTTACAAAAGGTTTAAATTTGCTGCCTTTGCCACTCACATGTCTTGGGTGACTGCTTTATTAATATATGTTGTCTTATGGCTGAAAGAAGTT